TTTTTTTTTTTTTTTGGTTTGGGGGTTTTTTGGGGGGGGGGGGACTTTACAATTGCATTTTTTTAAAGGGGGCTTTTCCCTCTCCTTTTACTCCATGTGATACCTATGTAGAAAAGAGCCTGACAATAAAGGGGAAATCATGCAACTAAACAGGGTGAACAAACCAGGAAAAATGTTTTGCTGGTAAAATTGATGTCTTCCTAAAGATGTCTTATGCTGATGCCACCCCTTTAGGTGCCTTAATAATGTTACTGAAATACAATGGTTAAATGAGAACAGGCATCTGCAGAGTCTGAGGGGCCAGGAAGGTTGATGTTGCAAGCATGATGGGAACTTGACAATGTAAGATGCTGTTTGAAAAGCATCAGATGAGGACCTGACCACTTTGCCAAGATAAAGGATAAGCTCATGCAGCTGACTGAGCAATCGGATTGCATTTTTCCTGTTTTGGACAGAGTTTCTATTGTAACAAATTAACTAGTATACTAATCATGTTGGCAAAGGTGTTTATTTTTGATTCCCAAAACACTGAGCATGCCAGCATGTGAATGGACTACTCAAAAAGAAAGGCAGAAAGCATTTCATTGTGAATGTCTGGATTTGCATTAGTGCTGGGGCATAAACTATGGCTCCTATAGTTTCTTGAAAATACAAATATTACTCTTGACAAAGATGGATGGTATGTATAGCTTAGGCTTCAGTTAAGGAAATACATCTTGCTTGAAAGTTGGCACGTGTCTTGTGCAAAGTCATTTTCGAACTGGCGGAGGCGGGAGTGGGAGGGAGAAAAAGACTGCCTTCTGGGGGCCAGAAGCCAAGAATGTGTGGGCGTAATGTGAGTCTTTTTTTCCCCCGTGTTTTTAATTCACCTCTGTACAGAGCAGACTAGCACATCTACATGGCATGGGGAGGCCTGCTGATGCTCTGTGATTTCAAAGTTGTTTTTTTTCCCTTTCAGTTTTTAAAGTGCATTATGAATGGAATTCTTCTGCTCTTGGCAGTTCTTCCATGAAGTAAAGGGAGAAAAGCTCAGAGTTGTATTGCAGTTGGCCACAGCAGAAGCTAATTCTGGTTTGTAGGGCATCATCTGTTTTCTATATTGGGTTTTTAGTAGTAAATAACATTTCTCAAATCTTTCTCTACGTCATGTTTCTCAGAATAAAGCTCTTGTGGTGATGGCAAAATATTTTATTTTTTTAAAGCTGGCTATTGGTTATGAAGATAGTGTGCATGTAAAGGTCATGTGATTTATAACCACTACCACTTTGTTTAATTAACAGGGATTTAAAAAAAAATGTAGGGTTTAAAAAGATGCCTAATAGTGAGGGTTTCTTACTATATAAGATGGGGAAATCAAGTGTATATGTCAAGTGTATAATGATTGCAACTTGATTTTTGTTGTCCTTTTTTTCTGAAGGAGAGGGCAAGAGCAGCATAAAATTTGGCATAAGACAAGAAGAATCTCTTTGTTCATTCACATCCTCTGCTGTTACATGGTGTCACATCAGATAAGTCTTCAAAAACTCCCCAAGCTTCAGCTTAACGCTAGTGTAACTGTTAAGCCCCAATCATTCTTATAGGAACATATTCCAGAACCTCACTGCTCTGGTAGCCATGAATAAATTTGGGCTGAATATTGGAACTAGTTTATGTACATTTTGTCCTTATATGATGTTTTTCTATTTAGCGTCCTTCCCCACCACCTGGGTTTTATCCTCCTGATGTGTTCATAGACACAAATTAACTGACACAGAAACAAATTAATTCTCGAAGAGGAAATGGGGGGGCAAGAAGGGTAAGCATAGGAATAGACTTAGTAGGCAGTAGAAAGCAAGCGGTGATTAGACACCATTTTGATTTTTAATGGGTTGGGATGTATTGCACTTAGAGTTTATATATGTCCATTTGTTTCAGGAGTGCCCTAGGGGCTTTCTTAAAAAATGATGATCCTTTGCAGTAGCACACACAGAAGATGCTCTGATTGAATCCTGTTAATAAAAAAAAGCACACCTAGGATAAAATAAAAAAGGGTTTCAAATACAGATGCTTTTAAATTGCTGCTTTGTGACCAATCTTGGTAATACAGTTAGAGCCATTTAAATGAAAATTATTGCAGGGTAATTAACGTTGGGGAAACCTGTCCTTCCCATCTCTGTGCCTGTTGTTGCACTCTAGTAAAGTGCAGCAAGTATGGGATAACTGGTTTAGCCTCTCACTACTGGAATTTTAAAATGTCTCTGCAGATGTAAACAGTTTAATTATCTTCCAACTTCAGTGGAGCATTCCCTATCCACACTTAAGTCAGATGATCTGCATTCATATAACGCTTTTGTTAAGAGAATCATACCTGATACCTTTTAATATACATTGCCTGGCCTGCCATCATGAAGTTGACTTGCAGTGCAGTACCTCAGGTGTGTTACATACTAAGTTTCAGCATGTATGTAGATTGCTTTCAAGCTGTTGGAAAACTATTAAATAGGAACATGCAGGGAACAATCTATCTAACACAACATGAAAGGGTGAAAAGCTTGTTATTTTTCAAACCCAAATTAATTTGAGAGGAAACAACCTCTGGATAGTCATATACTATAGGGTGGTTATTTTTCTTTTTTCCCCGAAAGTTGTCTCTCTTAAAACCTTCCCTTGGTGCAGTTTGCAATTGATAGGAGTCCTCTCAGTTGTCTGAAAGGGAATAGGAAAAAATCCTTTAGACCCACCTGTAGAACTAAGGTTAAAGAGGAGCTTTAATTCATGCAACTTGTGTTCCTCTCCTATCACTGTAAATTTGAGTTTCAACCTTTTGTACAGATGGTTC